TGCTGATTTTTTTGTTACTTGTGCGACATTTATTTTAGATGAAAAGAATACATATTTCTGGCGAACGTAGTTTTTCAATTTGTATTTGATGCTGAGTAACAGCACAGTCTGTATATTAGAGAAAATTTACTGAATGTTACGATTTCCTAGAACCGTACTTCTCAAAAGGAATGACAACTTCAAAATGAAACAAAAATCCTTCCCTTCTGTCTTGCTCACTCTCCGAGAGTTTTTATTCGACTAGGGAAAGCTAATGTTTACAGCTGATTTTATTTTGAAAGGTCTGGATAGTAGCAGATATGTCACGAATTTAAGAAAATACGCCGTCGGGCATTTTTAAAAACATGTTTCGGAAGTTCATCTGTCATCTTTAATTCTAATTTATACAAAATTCAAAGTTGAATTTAAAGTGTCTGACAAACTGCGCATGGGACAAAACGGCAATAGAAACACAACAATGTCTGCAAGTACAAGAAAGGTTTTAAATTAACATACAGTGGAACCTCAATTTAACGAACCTCTGACGAAGTCCACGGTTTAACGAACGATGCTTCAGTTTCAGCCCGGCTAAGGTTACAGTAAAATGTATACCACAGAACCTCGATATAACGAGCCCTCGATGCAACGAACTAGTTTTCCCAGTCCCTTAGCACTCCGTTAAATCATAGTTAGTAGAGGGGACTGGTTATGAAAGTCGGCGAGCATCAAAGAGCGAGACTATAGAGCAGTCGCTGATGTTGAAAGTACCTGTCACGTGACCGCGACGGTGCACAAGCCAAACACAAGTTCAAAGATGGCGGATGGTGGAGAGGATCTAATTTTGATTGGCGATAGTTTTGAGGCAATTTTAGACATCTTTGATGAAGATGAAGTACTGCAGGAACAGTTTTTAACTGCTGCAAGTGAAGTAAGTGCAGAATATTTAGAAGCTTACTCTTACTTAGTCTATAATTTTTTTTTTTGAAGGGGTTTACGGAGCCACACGCTAATGTACTTTCACGCGACTAACTACTAGAGAACAGAGAATTTCCCGACGTTTTCAGATAACAATTTCCTAGCTATATTCTAGAAAAATTATAAAATTGTATTTAGTTTCTCTGGTAGAAGTGCCCTAGATACTAAAAATTGCCTGAATATTGCCTGGGTTTTGCTTTGTTAAAAATAGTTTACAGAGAATGCAACCTGACAACAAACTGAACATTGTCGCAAGTGCCTTCGGAAGACGGCAAGTATGTTAACATTTGATCATATTTCATAGAGACAGACTCTNCCCCAAGGATACAATGATGATGACGAATCTGTGGGCGATTCATCACGATCCAAAGGAATGGGAAGATCCGGATGTGTTCAAGCCTGAACGGTTTCTTGATGCGGGAGGTAACTCCTCAGTTTCAGGCCCCGAGGGTTATCGAAGTTACTTGCCATTCAGTGCCGGAAGAAGAGTGTGTTTAGGCGAGTCGCTGGCCAAGATAGAGCTGTTTCTAGTAGCTTCTAGGCTTCTGCACCAGTTCAAGTTCGAGCCAGCACCAGGGGCACCGCTTCCCGAACTTTCTGGTATCGTGGGGGTTGTGCTTGTTCCGAGTTCTTACAAAATCTGCATAAAGAACAGACACTAACTGCATGTTGCATGTTATAGTACGTACCTTGCTTGTAGTACGGCAAGACCAAATTTCGTGTAGCGTGGGTCATTATGCAAGAACTGTTATTTTTTTTTTTTACTAGACCTTAAAAGTCACTTTTAACAGAAAGACTTAGCATTACGCTAATTAGATGTTTACTTTTAGTACATGGAGTAATAAATTAACCTTTTAAACCCTGACATAAGTATGCCTATTCTCTAAACATGCAGTTCTCCCTACATCTCATATGATAATGACGTAGAGCCTTTGTATAGCAATCAAGTGCTTCTTTTTCTGGCGATAAGTATATCTTATTAGACGTTTTGTTGTGTCGTATCGCTGAGTATTTTTACGAGTTGTGCCGTATTTTGAAGAGCCCGTAGGGCGAGTCAAAATACAAATAACGAGTAAAAATACTCAGCGATACTACACAACAAAACGTCTAATAAGTTATTTATTATCCAACACGCCAAACTGTTATTTCAATGCGGGCGAATTTCGCGGATATTTATTCACGGGGAGTGCGTGACAGAAGTATGCAAAGCGGAACGGATTTGGCGCGTTGTTGTGTTACTGTTTCCATTTTCTTCATTAAATGAAGAAATTTTCTGGTCGTCTAGCTGCTTTTCTTCGTTCGATTCATCTAATGAACTTGGATCTATATTTGCCAGCCATTCTGACTCTTCGTAGTCGGAAATATGATTCAAATTGTCCACCATTTGTTTTGTTTTTTTTCGTAACTACAATCCAATTCTTCGCTTGCGCGATGCGAGAAAACCTGTTCTACCGGTACTCTACAATAGGCGAGTACAAATACCGCGTGATATTTGTACTCGTCTATGGCGTTATTTGTACTCTACGAAGTGTAGTTGGATAATAAAAGTTAATATTCTTAAATATTCTTAAATGCTCTTACCGCTGATCAATTTGGCAAACCAGCAAGGAGAAAATGGGCTTAAAATGCTATAGTGACATGATACACACTAATATTTTCTCTTTCCTTTGCGAGTTCCAATTACGTTCAAAACTTAAACACCGTAAAAATAAAGCGGAAATGTTCACCACGTAATTTTTTCAAGTAACCACGAATTAGGCGTCACTTTAGGGACCGTTAGCAAAGGCGACCGGAAGCCAGAGTTACTTCCGCTGAGGTCTAAAAATTTTGACGGGCAGAAGTCCTCTCTCCGCGCGGACTTGAGAGGGGCGAATTTCGCGCTGTCCATAAACGTTTGTTTCACGCATAAGATATAACCAATTTCTTTCACTTTTCGCGTCTAAAAGCTTCAATACCAGCTACACACCTCCGTTCAACGGTTGTCACGCAAGAAGTCATGTATTTGATACATTCCTGGCCAAGCTGACAGATTGGCCTTGACCTTTTGCGTGACAGTCGTTCAACGGATCGCATAATTACATTTTTTGTCATTTTTTAGCCCGAACTCTTTGAAAGCTGGACGCGCCGCCTATGGCGGGCCAAGGAAAAAACTTTGAGGAATTAAACTACAAGGATAAAGCTTTAAGATGACATACATTTTGGTTTGTAAATATATCATACAAGACCTTTTTAAAGGCCTTTAAAAGGGTGGTGACAGCTGTTCAGCGGTTCGCATTGCAATTTTGACAAAAAAGCCCAAACTCTTTTAAACCTGGACGGGCCGCTTATGACGGGCCAAGATAGAGAATCAGAGTAATTAAAATACAAGGATAAAGCTTTAAGATGATGTATATAATGATTTTTAAGTATATATGGCAGACTTCTTCATAGGCCACTGAAGTTGACAATAATTTTACCTATGTGAAAGAGACGCGAAGTACTTTATTTCAACGGGTCACTATTCAAACTTAAATGTAACAACATAACAAGAAATTAATATTTTCCAAGAGATGGAAGATTCATATGCTAGCACACAAAATAAAACGAATTACGAAATTTAGCAACTGTCAGTGGATTCTCGATATTTACGGTCAGCGGTGGCTCTTAATAAGTCAATAACCATTTTGAGACACCTTAAAAAAAGGCCGTGGGATCATTCGAGAATTGTCTTTCAGTCTTTTCCGGGATTTACCCAAAAAGCTGGTAGATCAGGATAGTAAAACAGACCACAAGGAATCTCCCAGTCCCCAGAAATTTGTCACAAAAATTATCAATTCCTGTTTTACAGATCAGGATAGCAAAAGGGACAAGCAGGATACACATAGCCACCAGAAAACCAATAAAAATCTTATAACTCCATTCCCATAGTAACATGTCCTTTTTTTTTTCAGGATCATCTGCAAGAAGAAGACACTTTGGTGATCTCTCTATTAACTAAAAAAATTAGGGACATAGGAACCACACTGGAAAGAAAGAAATCCTCTGGGAAGCTAAATCGCTCATTTAGTCATTATTTCTAAGGTAACCGTGGAATTTTTATTGAAAGAGACGTACCTACGGGGGGAGGGGGTCCTGGGACAACTGCGGATAGCCCACTGTTACGCAATAAAGAGGCGCACACAGATTTGTAACTTTAGATTCCCCTCCCAACTTTGAAAATCCTAGTGAAGACATGTCAACTAATCAGAGGGGAGGGGATGGATGATGAATGTAGGGAGCTTAAAAATTTTTAATTTCATCGAGCGTAATGACAGTGTAGTAGTGAGTAGGGAGAAGTACAAGCGTTTATAACACGACTCGGAATATGAGAGTGATCATCGCAGCTATAAACACTGCCTAGGCAGTAGTGAACATTAAGCCTGAAAATAATTGAGCGGGATCGGGAATTGAACCCATGACCTCTTCGATAACGGTCCTACGCCAACTGAGCTGACAAACCAAGTGGCAGCTGGTCATTCTGTTTGATCGTATGAACCCGAAGTTCAAATATATGATAAAATGTCATATCTTCACAGTCGTTCAAAGGGCTATTAATCAACTAAATGGTCTCTACGTCCCTCCAAAGGGGCTGGTTGTTGGACCCATGGACAAACAGGAGTACATTCTTTATTGAGACATTCGAGGAGCACAGAGGTACAACTGAGTGACAGTATTCCGGAGGGTGGGTGCTTATTAAACTTCTTCTAAGTTGCAACTTATTTTTACATTTTTAAAGAACTGCTTGTTGGACCGCTTGTGTTCAGTGTTACGGGACATCTAAGTTTTCGCGCATGCGAGACGGCTGCGTCTTCAAACGGTGCCATGAGGTCACCGAGTTAAAACCTCTCTCTGTCTCGTTCAGTTTTTCTTGATTTTTGATCTAATATTGCGGTAAACATTGTAAAATTTAGTGCGAGTTTTCTCGAAGCATTTTTGAAGGTTAAATATTAAAGGTCTTGATTTTTCATGGCTATTCGCCGTTCACGATATTTTCGAATGCCAGGAACACAGATTATGAGTGAGTCCTTTTACTTACCCAGATTACTGATTGCTGTCGTAAGATGAGTTTTGTTGGCACCTGAACTGTTTTTGATGGTTGAATAATATTTAACAGTTTTTGGTGGGTTGATGGGACCAGATGAAGCTTGGGATTGTGTTGTGGTGGAACCGTTACACATATCTTCACTATTGCAACGTGGGTCTATAAAGATAGAAAGATCGAAATGCGAACACAGTTAACAACAAAGGTCGCAAGATTGCACCTGACCAAACTCATCTATCTTTCCAGGTGTCAGTCTGCGAAAATGCTTTATAATTTAGTTGATCCCATCAAAGATTACACTACTGGAAACATGCAATGAATTCTATCCAAATCAATTGTCACCTTAACTTGCATTGGTTTCCACACAGTGATTGTAACAGTTCACTTTCGCTACAACCATCGTTCCTTTCCCATAATGTGATTAGTTAATTTCATGAACCCGGAAGGGGTTATGGCACTGTAAATCAGCCCTCTCTTTCCCTTCCTTCAAAATAAAAGAGCTTCTTTCGAAAGTTTTCTGTAGCGACCTACCTGTGTTGCTCGTACAAACATAGAATTTCAGCTTCATCCTGTGTGTCTTACAGTTTCCTCCAAACGTACTGTTAATGGACGTTTTTCTTCCATCTGATGTTGCTAGTCGATAGAAAACTTGAGACTATTAAAAATTGTTCAAGGTATTCGATTAGATTTTTTTTTCTTTCACTAATGGACGTACAATGCACGAGGCAGGAGACTGCAATTTAAAAGAATCATGACGAAAAGAATTCAAGACTCATGGTGCTTACTGAAAAAAAGAAAAAAGAAAACTTCATGGTAGTGCAGAAGGAAAAGACAGTATTAATAAGTGTCTTTGTTTTCTTCATTACCGTAACTGTATGCGTAATAGATCGTGGTGGGGAGGAAGGGAGGGGGGAGTGTGTTTGTGATTATCTACGTCGGCGTGGTCCTGGTAAGGACTGTTGATACTGTCAGTGATTGACATTTTACAACCTAAGCGGAAGTCATCATGATTTGAGTCACCTTAACTGGACTCTTTATTTTCCGGTTTCAAGCCACTTATAGTCAGGTTAACGAATGGAATCCATTACGCCGTGAGTCTGTTCACAGATGACGTCAAAATATTGTAAGAATGGTGACGTCATTTATGTACCTGTTCTCCAATATATCATAAGTAGAAACCAATCAAAATCGTGCGTAATTCGGCTTATCATATAGTTGGAAATGGTTGGACCTACCTACCTATAAAATAGTAATCTTTTCCCGGCTGAAATTCGGGCTCATTGCCTACGCTAAATCTTTTAAACGTCACCGTATGATATTTCAGTTTAAGGGGTTCGTCACACAGCCATAGCCTCGTATCAGTCATCAGATTTATTTCGCATCGCTCGTAACTTTGCTCGCTGACCAGCCACAGATTTTCGTACTGTAGATCAACAGAACTACTATGGGCCAGTCTTGCAACTACTGTAGCTGTGTTTGGGCACACAAAGATCACTTTGGACATTGGGCGAACACATTGCGTTCTATTCGATGCAAACCTACAAAGACAATATGAATGGTGTTATGAGGATCGAATTATTTTTACTGAATCTGTCACGCAATCCCACACTTTTCTAGAATTATCTATAATCTATAATATTCCAGAAACTTCTTTCATGTGACTCAGCAGTTTCCAAAAATAGTACAACTTGTAATACGCTATAAATAGTAGTAGAATATTCTAGATAACTAAAGTAAATGTATAAAAGCTGGCTTGTGAGAAGTACAAAAGAGATTTGCCCGAGGGCTTACCCTCGTGGCTTGCTGACTGAACTTTTGGAAGCTATGATATGACGAGGCTATGACCCTTTGACCTTGCGATATCCGGANAAATTAAGGCTTATAGGCCACCGTAACGATTACAAAAGATGACGAAGGGCTAACGCTCGAAACGTGAGCTTTTGTAATCGTTACGGTGGCCAATTTACCATTTCAACTTTGTTGATATATCCAAATTATTTCGTTACTCCCACCGACGCAGCCCCAAACAGTTTCTTTCGAAACTATCAGCCTTTATCAATATGAATGGTCAGTCGAGGGTCGATCGTCGAGGGGTTCGCGTCCAGGCCCTGGGTTTTTCGAAGGGTAGAAAACACTATCGATCCACTGGGTAAATCTCTGTCCGATGGATAGCCTAGTGTGTTTTGGTAAGACGTTTGCGCCAGATATCGACTCATCCGCTGGATACCGTTATCCGCCCTTTGATCAACTAGGCTCAGATCACCTGGGTGCGGTGTAAACAGCTGTTAATTTAGAGGTTCTCTTGTATTTGTATGTTGTGATTTTGGCAAGTTCTTTACATTGACAAGCAAAAAGCTTTCTAATTGAAATCAACTTCTTATATCTACTTTCAGCATGAATTCACGCTTAACGTTTGCAAAACAAAGAACTCTTTTGTTGAATTAAAGGCTCGATTGTTGGTCGGACCAAATACTTAAAAGACCAAGATCCTTTAGGAAGGCACTCTAATACAACATTTTTATTTCGTTGGGTCTCGCTACACAAAAAATACCCCATTGAAGAGGATAAATTTAGCACACTAAATCGAATATAAATGAACACTTTCATAACTCCTTGATAGATATGCCTGGGAGATAGTTTTCTCGTCTTTTCGTTACGTAATTGATAATCATTGTGTTTGTTTCTAAGGTTACACTTCTCATTATTTTCAACTATTACTATCAACGCATAATTTTTTACGTACAGATTTTCTGAGGTAAGAAATTTGGAAAAAAGTCAAACTTTGCCGTGGTATAGTTACCAACTGAAGGTAAAAGCAAAGTCTGCTAGTGCGGATAGGCCCTTTAAAGACACAAATTGTATGCAATTTAAAAAGTTTCATCATTCCTTCTTAGCTGTCATCTCACCAAATTATGCATGTGGTAATAATAGAAAAGCAAAAGTTGATATTTCTAACCTAGTGAACAAAGAGACACGTTTCTGCCGTGAGACAAACTAACTCCCGAGTTAAGATTTCGAGTTGGATTTTCGAGTCGGTTTTTTCGAGATGCTTACTAGTAATCCAGCTTCAACGAATCGGCTAGTCCAATGCAGTCAACAAAAGAATTCGTGTAGGGGTGGGGTTAGTGTTTTACCTTTTTATTCTGCGACGTCACTATGTATAACATACATGAGGTAAGAGGCAAAAAAATGAGTCTTCCACGACTGAACTCATTTTCCTTCGCCACTAACATGCTCCTCATGTCAAAAATGGCAAGATTGGGAAAGCTTTAATACCAAAAGATAAACGAAACGAAAAAAATTACGATAACCGGGCGTAAATCGAAGGTAAGATCTAGAATATGATTTCTCTTCTGGTGGTACAAATTTAGAAATCCGCGTTAACAGTTACACACAAGAAAAGGCAAATATAGAAATCCTGCAATCCCACCATATTTTGAAGACCGACACATGGCACCAACGCTGTCTTAGAGTGCTTTCCTAGTTCTCCAACCCCCAGGAACTGTTCTGTTGTCTGCATTTGAAGCGGTTAGATATCATACGAAGCATTCAAAGAATTTTCCACATCCTACGAAATTCCTTCTTGGTCCTGGCTTTTGATTATTGCACGCTTCTTCGCGTCATTCAAGTAAATAAGGTCTTTATAAGTCTCTTCACCATGGGGTCTCAATGCCTGCCCACCCCTCCTGCTCACGTTTCCACAACTACCAGACATAAAAGTAAATGACAGAATTTTAAACAGAACATGAGTTATGATTTATTTGATTTTTTATTCCATAACAATAACTTTGTAAACAAATTAAAAAACCCTGATATAGCTCTGGTCAGGGGAACACACTGGTAATAACAATGCAAGTATGAATGCATTAAAACCAAACCAAACACTTTATTTCCCTATCCCCCATTTTTTTAACAAGAAAAACCTGGTTGAACCCTGGTCAGAGGAACATGCAATCCTTGACAAAAGTATTACCACACTTAAGATAAAAAGTGGTTGTCTTGACCACCCTCTTCTCGCCCCAAAACATTGCTAGTTTCTATTCTTCCAACAATGCCATAAATTCTTCAGCAGAGGGGGCTCGGGAATTAAACTTCACAGAATTTGTCAATAGGCAATATTTTGTTAAGTGTGCTAAGGACGTTTTCTAGGATTGTAGGTAATAACAATATTAATATGTGGGTATAGAGAGACAACCGAACACCTTCTCCTGTCCACACATTCTGTGTCCAGTCAAAAATATAATTACGAAAGCAATACTAGGATAAATTAAACAAGATTGCCCTTACCAATCTGCAATCCTCATTCTCCTCCATCTTGAGATATGTAACTCCACTAACAAAGTACGTTGTGTAACACCACTGAAAATTTATTGGAAACCCCACCAAAAAAGGGAAAAAAATCGCCAAAAAAATCCCGCCAAAAAATCCTAACTCTAAAATCCTAACTCGAAAATCCAACTCGAAAATCCAACTCGAAAATCCAACTCGAAAATCCAACTCGAAAATCCAACTCGAAATCCAACTCAAAATCCAACTCGAAATCCTAATTCGGTAAATAGGCAACCTCTTCTGCCGAAGGGAAAGTTCGCAAAGTGACAAAACCTGGAGGTTGCGATGGCGAAAAGAGTCATGCTGCTTCTTTGAAAGAAGGTAATTAGATAAGGCCAGTATCGCGAGCTCCCGCAGTGATATCGTCGCGCATTCCTGGTGTCGTTTATTAGAGAGACTGGGTTCGAAATAGCCATTACAGAGTGGACGTAAACACCAAAACAGCCAACAGCGTAACGACTTAAAAAAAAGAAAAACAATCAGTTATTTCGTTGCTGGCTATGGCATACAGAGCAGAAGGAATGGGGAAGAGTAAACGTTTTGGTCCTTTTTCTTAGAGAGAGGAAAAGAGGCTGCATCGATGATTTGTTTCCGCCGTTCGCTGTTTTGTTGTTTACCACAGTCAGTGACTGCAAAATTAAGGCTCTCAGGCGTTTATCTAGCCTGATTCTCGGATGATCCAAGGGCGCTCGCGCGATTTTGACGGATATTCGAGCAAGTGGATTCAGACCGTCTGAGATTTAGGCTAATATGGACACATAGGTTACGAGATATTCATCAATTCATTGATTTTCTTTATACTTATAGCGACAAAATCTGGATTGTGCTGAGAAATGCTTAGAAGCCATGGATCTGGCAGAGATGTGCATGATACGTACGAATCTTTAGGGCAATAACTATAACTCACTGCAAAAAAGGCAAATGGTGCTTGACTGGCTATGGATGCATGCCAAACCAAATGAAAGGTACAGTACATTTTATGTTGTCGTTCAGTTACACCAACAAGTTTCTTCTCGTAGATTGTCTAATAGTGGTAATTGAACCGAGTAGAGTGCAATTTGGTCCGAAATCACACGCGTGATTTCAGAATCGAACGAGCGCGCAGCGCGAGTTTGATTTGAAATAGCAAGTATGATTTCAGACCAAAATTGCACGACACGAGGTTCAATTACCACTTTATTACATCTATTTTGAAATTGCCCAAATACGGGACTTGGTCAACTTAAATATTTTACTGATGCAGAACTGAGCCGGCTTTTAAATAAAAAGTGGAACAAGAAATGCTTTTACATCTTATTTCGTATGCAACACAGAGAGACTTTGACATCATTTACAATGAAATATATGAAGTTCATATATTTTGAACTGCGGTATTAGATACGTATGATGCACGATCCTCGCAGTAGATAGCGCTATTTAAGCAATAGCGAAAATCAGACCTGAAAAAAATCAGGCCTGTACGGGATTCGAACCACTGACCTCTGCGATACCAGTGCAGTACATCATGTGTCAAAAACTCAGTCAAGCGTAAAATGATGCGATTTAGAGCAAAAAATAGTGCGATATGAGAATAAATTGCACCAATTAGAGCCAATCAGGTTACAGGGACCACCAGTGATTTCAAAATGGATGTAATAAAAGCATAAATCAGGCTAGACTAAATGAAACGTATTTGTAACCATGCATTCCTTTATAAGGTGATTCCTCATGTTTTTTTCCTAGTGACCCTCAAAGCATCCCTTACTATCTTAGTGGATACAAAGTGTGCAGTACAGCATACCGCATAGTTTTTGGACTGAGCGCAGCAGCTTTGAGTGAAACGTTTCGTAATTTTCACGCTGGTGTGAGAGTTTGTAATTGGCCAAAATCAAGGAGCAAGAACCTAACTCACAAAAGACTAATGGCTGAAACTTGGATGGAAGTATTCTTCAAAAGGGTACTGACTGCACTGATCGACTTAATACCTTTAAGATTGATTGCTTCTTCATTGAACCATGGTATATACCTGGCAAAGGGGGCTAGTCTTATGCTTCCCCCCTCCCCACTTCTTAAAAAAAAGAAAATAAAACAATAGAGTACGATAATCATGAAGACATCAATTTCATTTGGCATTTGTTTAGATGGGAACCTGTCTTTATGCAAACTTGTTGAAGTATCCTTCGCAATATATTTTGCACTGATTACCTTGAACCCCTCAGTGCAATCAACCATAGTTTATAGAAAGCCCAGTAAGCTGAACTGATTTGTTTGTGTGCTATAAATCTTTCTTATTTGACACAGATTGGCGATAAGATGCCTGATACAGGAGCATTGCATCTTTCAAGCTTTCTGGACAAAATCATCATGTATGGTTATTTGAAAGCTGATATGAAAGATGAGAATGAAGATGTCATTCATTACAGTACTTTTGGTCATCTCTTGAGAGGTGTGTTTCCTTTTGTTGAAATACCCAAGGTGATGTGAAACTCTAGAAATTGTAATATTAGTTTTGAATGCATACGTATAATTGATCTAGTAACTTAAGATGTTGTTTTAAATCCCAAGATCAGATGGAGTTTTCATGCTCCTTTAAATTTCCTTATGCAAACTTAAAATCAATTTTCACAGCAACTTTGATTACATTAACCCCAGACTGCAAAATAACATTACATTACATCAAAGCAATATCTCAAAAGGTTTAGATAATTCTATCCCTTGTGACATTATAGTTTCCACTACAAATAAACTGTTGTTTACTGCAGGTGAACCGATTTACAAGATGTGACTACTGCACAATATTGGGTGAGGAAAAGAGAAAAGCTTGAGATAAACATATGCGGAAATACTTGGACAAGCTTTTTGATTCCACAATGATCTTCAAATGTAAGAGCTTATAAATTTCTGTGGGCAAGACACATTGCTTGTGTTGTTAAATGTTGACTGTTTCCTGAAATATCTGTAATGAAATATATTTTTTTGTAGGAAAGAGAGAAAAGTGTATTAATTACCACCACAGGGACGAAGCTAAAAAGTATCCACAAAAGTATGCATGTATATATTGCACAAGATGGCATGGATGAGGCAAAGCTTCTCCTTCTATGATTAGTAGTTATTGCGCATGCATATACTAATGCAAGAAAACTACAGACTCATCAGTTTGACTGGTGTGTTAAACCATGGGAGGCAGCCTAAAGGTTATTTTGACCTATTTCAATATCCCCATGATGCAAATCTCGTCATAAATATACTACTCCTGGAATTGGACAGCATGCGAGAGGACCTGCCTGATACCTTGTACCTTCAAATGGACAACTGTTGGAGAGGGAATAAAAATCAATTTGTTCTCAACTTTTAGCTCTTCCTGTGAAACTTGACATTTTTGTTAAGGTACATTGTACTCATGCTCATAAGGAAATTGTGATATTTGGATATACGGCAATAAAAACCTTCGATGTTCTTTGATTTCAATACTTTAATCCACACACTATCCACATGGCAGCCAACGAGTACCACAACAACAACTTTCGCTAGGCATTACGGGATGCCTACAAACACAACCTTTTCAAACTTCCGGTACAATACACTACAGAAATGAAGTTTGAAAAGTGATAAATTTGAATGAATAGTTTTTCTTAATAATTTATAATTAATGATTTGTGAAAATTTACTGGCACTATGAGATGGGGATTGCAGTGATCGTGAACAAAAAATTCCTTCAAATCTAATTTTTGTCCTTACAGGTAAAACTAAATTTCTTAATGGTTGGACACACTCATGATCAGAGTTTCATTTTCATTGAATTAAGTTGAGAGAAGAACTCTCTTTGCCAATAGTTACATTGCAGAACCATCTCATTAATGCTTCCAAATACTCAGTCAAAGTTTCACTGCTGGGATGATACTATTGCCAGTTTCAAAGTTCTAATTTTACACTATAAGTAATAAGTGTTTGTGCTATAGTTTTTTTTAAGCCTGCTTTTCATTATTTATGCAGAAATAGATGTAGATGTCCCCCCCAGATAATGTGGCTCCACATACAGAAAAGCTTGAGCTTCAACAGCTCAGATCAGAAACTGGAAAGTATTTCAGATCAAGATTGTTTCTGGAACAACATAAAGAAGATTGGGCATCACTACTTGACCCTGAAAATACCAGATGGCATCCACCAGAAAGGGCATGCAGTTGCTTGGCCAATGAAAGAAATCATTATAAACAAGGAAAGAGTTAAGAAAGACAAAAAGAACTAGAGGCTGCTGGAAGTAGTCTGGGTTTTCTACTGGCAAAAACGTGGAGGTGTCCCTGAGGATACGAATGACATGGTCAAAACTCAAGTTGCTCCTGTGCAAGAGGTGATTTATGCTTAAAAAATTAAGACATACAATGTACGCTCAACTCAAGCCTCCTACTCATGCAAACTTAGCTATTTTGGCTAAAGTGTACGTGCCCATCAAACCTTTCCATCATGTGTTTTATTCAGATAGTGTCGGCCACGGCTGAATTTTCCTTGATGTGACCAGTCACATACACAAAAGGCTTTCACATAATTGTCCTTTGAATTGAATTAAGTTGTGTGGATAACTTGACTTAATTTATAGTTTTTGTCCAATTGCAGGTGTGTTGTGGAGCTTATAGAAGGCAAACAGCTGTGGTCACTGAGGTAGATAACTTTGAAGGAGTTCTGTCAGGTAGCATTGTCGTGGTTAATCTTGACGGTAACTACAAACCTCCCCATCTGGCAAAGGTAAAGGAAGTCACTAACTCTTCCTTCACTCTGCAGTGGCTAAAAGGTACTTAACAAAGGAAAGTAGGTATCAATTGGCCCGGATGGACTTCCAGCCAAATTCCTGAAGAAAGTGTAATCAATCTATTTTGACATCGAATTAGATGGGAATGATAAACTAAGAAAGGAGTCTGCGCAGTACTTAAGAAGGAGGTAGAAAGAGTTTAAAAAATTGAAATGCATGTGTATGCATGTATGTGTATCTAGGTTTTTCCATCGAAACTTAC